TTGAACCGTGGTCCCTGTGCTTTGCCAAGCTTGTTCCAAGTAGGTGCTTTAGACCACTGAGCCATCTCTCCAGCCCCTGTCACATACTTTTAACACATTTTAAAAATAAAGGGAAGAGCCAGTGAAAAAGATTTAATGCCTTTGTATCAATTTTGGTTGATTTGTGTGTGTTGTGTAGGACATAAAAACCTACTTAAACTTTTAATGAAAGCACTTATCAAGTGAGTATAATCATTTTCAGTTAAGATTATATATTTGTATCTCTTCTGATCAACTTTTGTTTATTCAGTGCTGACAACTTATAGAACCATAATCCTCATTAATAGAAAATATGGAGGCATATACACAAGTTGCGTAAGTGCAGAAATTTCCAAACCAGATGCTTTCTGAGGTTTTGTTGTCTTTGCAGTGGGAGCCGGTGAGGTGGCCAACTTTGCGGCTTACGCCTTCGCCCCAGCCACACTGGTGACACCCCTGGGAGCCCTTAGCGTCCTTGTAAGGTGAGCACAGCATGCGCAGCAGCAGCAGCAGCGGCACGAGAAGCATTAGTGTGATGGATTAACTGTGCGCGTAGCTTGCACTTCCACAGCCTTCAGGACTTTTTCCTCCAGTTAGTAGTTAGTGTCCAGACGCTTACCTCTGTGCAGGCAGGCTGTCGCTGAGTGGGGAAATGATTTTTGCTTTGGCTCATGGACGGACGACTCTGATTTTGTGAACTCCAGTTGCCTGGTCTCATTATCATTGTCAGCCCATGTCCACTTGGGTAGCGCCTGGCCAAAAGGACTGATTGCTGTGTCTGCCGCTGCTCGCCACTAAGGACAGGAGTCAGTGCTGGCTGCAGCTGGCTTGCATGTTCCTTTGCACCTCCAGCCCAGGGCGGGCCTGTTTGTGTAACTTCAGTAATTGAACAATAAGCCTATTTTGGGTTGGATTCGGGCCACTATTAGGAAGTTGATTGACTATTTACATGTACTTATCCTTTGTTCAAGGAACTACATATATAGTAAAGTTATAGTCTTTGTTTCCTTACATCGTTATTTTATTTAGTGTGTGTGTCTGTATTTGTGTGCAGGATCTCACAACACAGCTCAGATATGTAGTAATTCTCCTGTTTTCAGCCTCCCCAAGGCTGAGAATACAGGCATGCGTCACCACGCCTGAACTTAGTCTCTAGCTCAGTATGCCCCAGCTCCAGGCCAGCATGACTTCTGGTACTAGGGATCGAACCCTGGCCCCTGCACTTGCCTAAGCAGGCACTCAGTCCACTGAGCTATCTCACCGGCACTATGTACGGTTAACATTAAATGGACATGAAAGTGAGCTGGATCAACCAGGAGGGGAAAGTTAAT